ATCCTTTCAGTATCTTCTCCTTGTTTGCTTTTCTTCATTGTGATACTTTCTTGGGATGTTACTGCATTTTCATGTGTTTAAACTTGTTTTTTCTCCTCACTGTTAACATAAGAACATTAAGCAGTATGATGATGTGTCACGCAGCTAAAATGAGCAGCATCTTCAGAGGAAAAGGTGAATCTTCTTCCAGTCCACTGGTTCTACAGTCTCCAGATGCTTACTTGTCCTTACCCTGTAAAAGGCCTGGTTCTAAAAATTCTTGACCATGAGAGTTCACATGCTGGGTTCACTGGAGTTTGTCCTTAGATACACTGGTATGACCTCCTGGAGTAAATGACCCAAGGAAGAAGAAGATACAGTGCAGGTAGGGCGGTGGTTTTTACCTCCCTTCCCTTCATGTCATATAATTACAAATCACCGTTTTACACAGTTCCTTAATTGTTCACGAGTAATTGGAGGCCTTGCGTATGAGCAGATCCTGGGACAGACTTTAAAGTTACTTTGTGACAAGGGAGTGAGTGTCCATATGTACTGAGTTCAAATGTTCAGTCACCTGTTATCACCAGGGTAGCTGGGAGTTTGGGTGCACAAGCGTTGCCTTGTCAAATAAGGGAAGTACAAAGGCTTGTAGAAGTTATATGCACAAATTTGAGGGTGTTGGAAAATCTGGCCTTCAGTATCTTTTCGAATCATCGAGTAAAAAGGAGTCTGTGATTTTTGGAGACTTCTTAATGACCGGCTGAATTTTATGGACCTCCAGTCTAAAGTCTGCTCATATAACTGATATGGGGGTTTTTTCTGCCTAAGAATTTCCCTTGCATACACCACAGAAAAACAAACGAACACAATTCCCTGTTATTTCCCTGAAAACCAAAGTCCTCTTTCCTAGCAAGATTAACTTGTCGACTAATCTTAGAGCAAACACTTTATTTTAATCTATCATTGTTTTCTGACTGTGGGTTTAGCAGAGGTCAGAAAAAGAGATTCATTAAACTGATTGCGCATTTGTTTTTCTGAAAGCACGTCAGAAGATTAATTCTTTGCCAAAGAAAATAAAGAAATACAGTATTTCTTTTAATATACTTCAGCTAAATAAAGTCTTAAAATCACATGCCCAGATGGGGTGTTTGCAGCATAGGCTACAAATCATATAATTTCTACTATCTGAAAAGTGCTTAAATGAGCTCTACTTCAGCCATGCTATTTATTCCACACCTGAGGTGAAGTAACTCTGGTCCTTCCTCTGATGTAGAGCCATCGGTGAGCTGACTGCCAGTGTGTTTGTGCAAGTCTGTTTGCTTATATAAAGAACCCATTTCAGCTTCTCCACCCAAGAAATTCATGTTGATTTTGGATAATCCCTGGGCGATTTTATTCTACAAAATAAATAAATAAATCTTTCAAAGCTGTGACGCAGCCCAGCTCTCACATATTTTGGACTATTAGAAGTATAGCATTTGTGTTGGGGAAACATGAACTGACACGAGCCATGGACAATTTTATATTTGCCCAGAAGTAAAACAGAATGCATATTTCAGTATAGGGTCATGTGACGTTGGAGTTTCACCTGACGAGTGCGGAGTCAGTCTGTGATGTGGAGAGTTTTGCGTGTGGATCGCCAGACACCACGTTGTATGTTCATCCTCCAGTGTGACTTCTGTTGGAGTAGTGCAAATTTGGTTTAGTTTGGCAACAAACCAGTATTTCGGAAGAAAAATAAAGGTTTTATTAAACAGATGAAACAAGTCTCTGGGGTCAGCATTGGCTGTCAGGACTCGCTTTTAGTCTGAGAGAGATGGTATGTGTATGTAACAGTGTAGGTGTGGGAATCCGAGTATCCTTGCTGCGAGTGGTGCTGAGCAGGGCTGCGCAGAGGATGCTTTGGCCCAGTGCAGTGGAACAGGTCTCTGTGATCATCATCAATCGCAACTAACCCATTTGATTAAAAATTATTTCTGCTCCCTTCAGGAAACAGTAGCCCACAGGCTTGAGTTCAGTATGCTCAAGTCCTTATCTCAAGTCTGGGCGAATGCGAGAGGGAAAAAGCCCTGATTTTCACTCTGCTCTTTACCCCCACCTGTACCATACATATCCTTCCTCAGGGTTCTTGCTTTGGCAACAAAACTGGTTCTGAATAGGCACATCTCTGCTGAAATCAGTACTAGCTATAAATGTTGCCCTGAATCTCTACGCTACTATTTATTAGGTAACTAATTATTAAATTAGATATCTAAAAATAACTGAAATAACTAATTAACTGTATTTGTCTAACATTGTTATCTACCTTACCTTAACTTGGAAAATGTTGAGACTGGGCTAGGCTGTATTTGCTCTACTGTGTAATAATTGCATTGCAGTAATGTTCAGTGTCACTTGTAGCAGATACCGAATTCATGTAGTGCAAAGCAGCCATTAACTTGGGCAAGCCTGATTTTCTGTCATCTAGATGGATAATGGAATCATAAGATTGGCTTCAAAATCATGAGACTGTATGGACAATACAAATAAAATTTTATATTTTGTTTCCAGCTTTGTTTCTGAGGTCTTGTGAACCATGAGAGGTTCATACAGAAGATTCATACACCTTTTTTATTGCTCTAACCCGAAAGTAAATTGAAATTCATGTGAAGTCACTTATTTTCAAGAATTAAAGCTATAAATTGAATGTCAAATATTTAAAGACGTGCTGATAAATCACTGCAGATAGCAGTGCCTGAGAAAAACAGTATGGAAATGATAGCAAACAAGGGAGAACTGACCAGCTCAACCCAACATACGGTAATATACATATATTCAACATAACATACTCTTGCACTTGCTGCTGTATCCAGTGGACCATCATATTTCTAGTATTCTGTGTTTTATGTGTGTTATATATACCTTTAATTAGACTTGTGATGTAGACAGCCTACTTCTGCATGAGGTTAAGCTGCTGTGTAAATAAATAAAAAGTATGAAAGACAGTTTTTGCTAAAAATAGAAACTAAGTTTAAAGACAATGTTTTGGCCTTAGGCTTTTATTTAGGGTTTTGGAAAACAGAACACGTTCTTTGTTTTCCATTACTTGTAGAAAGCCTAATAGGCAAAATATCACTTCTCATCTAATTTTGCATTCCTTGAATGTGTTTTAGTAAACCCCTTTTCATTTAGACTAAACTACTATAAATTATGCTGGGATATGATCATTCATAGTTTTACTTGAAATATTAGTTTAACTGAAGAACTTCTTTCTTGTGACCTCTGTGGTAATGGTTTAAGCTCAGAAAAAAGGCATCCAACACATGCTTTAGCAATTGTTTTTCTTCAGAAGGTTATGTTTCATGCAGATGATCAAAAAGGCTATATAGTGCCAGCTCACTTAGCCTCCTAGTTAATACTAGCACTGTCAAACCCCCGATAGCTTCACTACAGCAGCATTAGTAATTTTTAGCATTTGAGGTTATTGACCAATTCCCATCAAATTTACCACATGCATATTAAAAAAACAGTCAGCCTTTATAATTTGATGAACTATGTTCACAGACAGAGGCAGAAAGGCTTCTGTTACCACTTTCTCCAAGCAGGAACAAAACGAACTACATCTGAAATGGATCTATGCTGCTAGCTAACCTTCTCTTACAGTAGTTTTTCAGTGCCTTTCAGTCTCTTTAATGTATGTATCTTTACAGTATTTCTGCCTGATAGGTACTTTCTTCCACATCTGTTTTTCACATAGGGAACTGATGCAGAAGACATCAAAAAAAAACGCATGGGAAGTTAAACACCTAATACTTGGTGGACTGGTTAGGGCTCTGTGTGTGCTACCTCTGCTAGCTGCTCCTGTATTTTTAGAGGTGGGTGGCTTGTGCCAGGAACCTATATGCTGTCTGCAGTACCATGGCTCACTAATGAATCAGTCCCCATCATGTGTCTGAACCTTGCTGCAAGGAAGTTTGGCTTATTCCAGGGTAAAGCTGCATTGCAAATCAACATGTAAGTAGTGTAAAAGATCAGAGGTTTAAACTGGAGTATGAAATTAAGCCCTGAGATAATAGCATGGATTTAAGAGATTAGTGATATTAGTACCAGTACATCTCTTTCAGATAAGCTATAGGCATGCGTTCCTTCATGCTTTCTGCCCCTTTCATTCTTTTTTTCAGTGTTTCTTCTTACAGTCTTTTCCATCAAGTAGTCCAGCTGAAATGGGAGTGGTGTATCCTTAATACGGATCTTAGTTTAGTGGGTAGAACACTTTTCTAGCCGATGAAAGAGCTGTGGAACCCCTTAGATAGGGCAAATTGGGAGCGAGTAACGAAGTGATTGTCCAAGCTCCTCTAAGAGGTCCCTGGCAAAACAGGAATGCAATTGCACAGTAACCTAGAACCATGAAGCTCTAACTTCATCTTCCTCTTCGTAGTTGGATTGACAATGATAAGAACCTGCCTAAATAGGGGTAGTTTATGGAAGTGCTCCATGTTGACACATATGCATTTAATATTTTTCCTTATTCCATGGGACTTCTTTGTGCATCTTTATTTTACGACAGGAGATTTGGGATATCTGAAGGTTCTCAATGCATGATAACATATATGATAGTCTGTATTGATTGAAGGGACTCTTGTTCCTGGGCAGTACTGCTGTTGTAGGTCCTGATCTCTCAATGTAAAGTTAGATTGATTTAAACTGATCCAATGCCTTGACTTTGGTCTTGTTCTGAATGAAGGGGAACAAAATGCTAAATGATATGCTGTGAAGCTCCATGTGTTTCCATATCCTTTCCTGGTTCCCCAGCTACATATAAGGCTTCAAAAATTCTACGTGGGATTTATCAGTCTGTATTTATCAGTGGTGGTAACATAAAATTAAATTTTTAAGTTTGATTGTTTGAGGTTTTTTAAATTAACATGTTTGTTTATTTCAGAGTTTTCCAAGGAAGCAAAAAAAAAAAAGCAATACTTGAAATTTCTATGATTAAAACAAAGGATTTCTGTGATTAAAACTTGTTTTCTTCTATGTTTCAGACACGGATATTAAGGAGCTAGAGGATGTTTTTGGACTTAACGGACAAGTAGAGCATAAGCTGAACTTCCTCAAAAAGAATGTATCAAAAGATATAAAGCTGGTACTGATTGCTCATTCTATTGGTTGCTACATCACACTGGAGATGATGAAGAGAGCATCAGAACTTCAGGTACATTAACCTAATAGAATGAGAATTACATTATTAGCAAAGCACATGCTCAGCCTATGGGTAATGTCATGTCTTTCCTGTGGAAACTATATTTTGCTATACACAAACTTTCAATCCTAGTTCTCATTAAAATGCAGTAAAAACATTCGTGACTAATCCTAATAACATATAATGAAGTTGTTTGATGTGAAATGAAGTTCTTACTCTGAATTTGGATCTTTAAATGCCCTTGTAATAGAAATGATTAATAATGGTGATATATATATTTAGGAGTTTCTTGTTGTCTTCTCATCTTCAAATAATTTATAAGCAGATCACTAGATATTTGGCCATTGTGTTACTACCCAAAAATTAGGACTGGTTATGATTTTAATAGCAGTTTCTTAACTCAAGGCAAGCAGATTGCTGACTATACATGGGGAAATGTGTGGAAAAGAATAATAATGTAAATTGTGGTGAGTACTACTATGAAGGATGTTGTTTTTAAAATCTAATACATATGCATATATCATTTCATCTGCAACTCAGCCTTGGTTTGTGTAACTGGGTGAGAATGCGAGGTGTTACTGCATGTTCTTGTGCACATGAACATTTTTCTTTGTCACTGTGAAGCAATAAGAAGGCTGAGGCAGGACTATGTCCTTGCAACTCTCGAAATGGCAAACTGTTAGTGCTTAGTAACAACGCAGTCTACTAGCAGGTGACGAATGAAGAATACTGAATTTTTGTTTTTAAACGTTCACTCTTGCTAAATCATTGCCTCTTCCTTTATATTATAAAATCTTCAGTAGAAGGAATTGCAATGTTAGTGTAAAGTCTGTGTTTAATATATGCATGAGTAGGTTCTTCCACTTCTTCATAACCGTTTCCACTGCATGTCTTTTTTCCTTTAAAGGAAACAGCAACTAAAAACGTGAAACATGAGGTTAACCTGATATATTTCCACAGGCATATTTCACTTTGTGATTATAAACAGGGGCATTTTTGAGAGAACTTTTATTACTATTTTATCGTTTCAAGAGGGAGTGTTCTAGAAAATATCATATGCAGTAATTTGTCCAAAAATATCAACTTTTCTTTGGTCAACATCTGTACAGTGTTTATTACACAAATTATTTTATCTGGTTTCACTTAAACTATAAATTGTTGAGTAATTCCTTTACACCTGGCTCACTAGATGCTGGCAGCATGCTATTCATCAATGTTTTGAAACGTATGTATCTATGGGACACTCTTAGGCTGCACGGTGCACTGTGTGCATGAAGTTGATGTATGACAAGCTACATTTAAGATGCATTTAACAATAGAAAATATTTGTGTAAGCCAGAGTGTTGTGCAACCTTTGTCCCTTTGCCAAAAATAAGTTAACTGTTAGCTTTTATAACATATGAAGTGTGATAATAAGAAACTTGTGTTTCCATCTCTCCCTTTATTTTTACTGGAATATTTGATTCCCACAAGATTTTGAGCGCATATGTGTATTTTAGTAGCTAGATAATTTGATTTTATTTTTGTGTAGTTCTTATGTGATATTCTTTTATTACATGAGTTCTGGTTTTGGTCTTAAATTCTCTGCTTTGAGAGCCTTTGATTGCTTACAGTTTATTATTCTGAGCTAGAGGTTAATGTGTTGTATTTATTGTTCAAATAATTCAGTAAACGTTTATATTTGGAGTGTATGTTTAGCAGATTTTATTTTTGTTACCCAATTTAAAGACTTTTCATAATCTAATCATTACAAATACAGACTCAATTGTCCCTCTCTTGTACAATGACGAGGGAACCTGAAGAACTTAAGCATGCATGAAAAGGAGAGAGTGCCATCTCCTCTCTCCTTCTTGGTTGCTCTTCAGCTGTTGGTTCTGAATGCTGCTAATTTCTTCAGCCCTTGTGCTCTGTAGGTTAATGGGGTACTGTGAATTTTTTCTTAAACTTCTGTGAAATAATTCTTTCTTATTTCATTAAAAGAAAATGAAACAGGAATTGTCAGTTTACCCCAGGATAAATTGAGTTTTGGACCCCATCCCTATTTTCCTATTGAATCTCAGGGAGGCTTCTGTTAACAGTATTTTAGTAGGGAAGGGCCACACAGGTTACATCCATACTTGTAACTAAGTGGGGCTACTGCATGGATTTGAGTATTGGGCCAGCTGTGCAGCGATGCTTTTGGACTAGTCCCTTGAGAAACTTTTTGGCCCAAAGCCGTCAGCAACTGCCAGGCAGCACCCTGGCATGGTTCTGGGCTTGGCAGAGGCCCAGGACCATTCCCCATAGTTTGGATGCAGTCATCCTGATTTCAGGCAGGGGGAAGTTCAGCCATGTGGATACAGACCATCCGATGCCATCCTGTTCCATGGCAGGACCAGGGAATAGTTCCTGGCCTTTCTGCTTGTGGGCACACTGTAACTGTGGACGTTTCTCAGTTGTCACGGTGGGCATCAAATCTTAGCAAGATTCACCTCTTTGTGGGAAGTGGATCATACAGAGTTTGCCAGACTGCTCTAAAACTTTGACACTGAGAGGGAAAAATGTTAATTATCCTTACTCTGTGGAGGTGGAAAAAGGCAATAATGTACCACTTACTTGATACGTGGTCTTAATATCATAATCTTCGCTCTTCATTCAGCCAGCAGAACTGAAAAATGAAGCTGAGTGACAAAATGATTTTCTCAGTTGTTGGAGCTTGAGCCTAACTCATAAATATGCTACATCCTCCAGGCATTCTTTTCTAAAATACAAGTCCTTACTTGGAGGATTTCCTTGTGCTTTGCTGGTGACACTATTGAGTCTTTCCTAAAACACTCAGTTTGATCATTAATTTAATCAAAACATTGACACATTTCCTTGCTAATGAAATTCAATCTGTTACAGCATTAGTTTTTCATTTGCAATGATGCTTTTGAAATGCCAGCACCTTTGTGATAAGAAATTAACACTTATTAACGAGTGAAGCCATCATAGAATGTAAGCATTGCTCTTCCTGTAGTTGAGAAGAGTTTAAAACCCCTGAGTATGTATCGTTTTAAGCAAATAAAATTGCTGTAATATTTAATTCAAAACCATGCCTTGCTACTATCTCAGTCATGCCAAAGAATATCCCAATATATTGCTAGAACCTGGTTTATTTTATAAGTAATAGCTAACAAAACTTAAGTTGGAATAGTTGTGTATAAAACAAGTACATACCTTGGAAACCCTGTTACATCTTTTCTGTGCACACGTTCATGTGCATCTGCCATATCTTTCATTCACCGTGTTCTCTTCCAAACAGAAATCTGTCACTCTACTGTCTTTTGAGAAATCTGATGAGTGTAACAAAATAACATAGTTTGCATTTAGCAATTCTACAAATGTATACAGTAGCATAACCATATGTTCATGTTTTTTCTTTTGTCTGGATACGGATTGCATTCAGGTCTTTCACTTGAGGAGCTACAACTTGTTCAGGATCTGGTAATATATGTAGCTTAGAAGGTTTCCGCAATGTGTCTTATTCTTCATAAATCAGTACTGACTTTTACCAATAAGGAGGCTGTCAGCTAACCAAGATTTCTTGAGTTAAGCAAACATTTCTTCATTGCTGACTATTCTAAATTATTTATGATGTATAAAATATTGTTGCTATTCATTGCCTGTTATAAATAAATTAAACATGCCTAACAGGAGGTACTGGGCATTTTTTCTTAACCTTTCAAACTACCAAATTGGCTATGTATCCCTGCTGTTGGTTTTCTGTCTGTTTAGCAAGTTTCTAATCCATATAAAAATGTTTCTCTGCCCATTGTTAGTATTATTAGTGGTCACAGGGATTGAATGACCTCAGTGGGAAGCATTTTGTTGGAGCTTTTTGGATATAGGTATTTTAGATGAAACTTCTTCATGTGCATGGTAGCTTTATTACTTTCGTCTCTTTTAAGTTTTTCAAATTTTTCAAAATACTTAGTTAAAAGAGTGAAGGATTTTTCATCTACAAAACATTATTGTTATTACTTCTAACATCATAAAAAGTTCGAAATATATTTTCTCGTTCTTTTTTAAATTTTGCTGATAACAGATTAGTCTTCTGTTCTGTCATTGCAACATTTCTGTTGTTGCATTGTTAGTAATGAGGTCTTTTATTACCCTTGGTGCTCCCCTAAATCACACCTTTAGTGTGACATATATAGTCCTCATTTTGGGGTTTCATGCCTGAACCAAAAGGCCATGTCCCATCTGTTGGGAAGAGCTTAGAAACATTGATGTCCTGCAGTTACACAACGGAATGAGGGATGTCACGACTCTGCTAGCTTTTTTCCTTTTGTCTAGAAATCTGCTTTTTCCTGTTTCTTGCAGCCCTTTCCAACACATCTTAGTGGGAGAAGACATTTCTGCACATGGCCCTTCTGACAAAGACATTGACTGGGATATGAAATTTCAGAAACGCTCTTCTCTTTGCCACCTCGTGGCCAGGGATTTTCTTTTTTTCAGGGTGTGTAAGGAATTAGCTGTATAGATATAGAAACAGTTCGTTTTAAAAGAAGCTAAAACAGTGAAAAATGGCAATAAAAGAACGTAGTTTGCATTGCAATGTCTGTATGCTACATAAAATGCAATAATTAATTATTCATATACAGAAGAAAGGAAAGAAAATACATAGACTGCTTAAAAAAGGATCCTCATGTGGCCTCTCTCTCTCTGTAAAACAGAATATGAAGTTTAAAGCAAATTAGCTATTCCCAAATAAGTCATATAAAAACATTCAGATTCTAAACCAAATGTATTTTTCTGATACAGCTTAATCTGTTTTCAAAATACATTAAGGTAATGGTTTTGAATATATTCTAGATTAATTTGGGAATCTAGAGACTGTTCACACATGAAGTTATTCAGGAATATTCCCATGTTTAGATATTCTTTACTCAGGCTTTAACTTAACAAATCTCTTGGTCAGCATAATTTCTGTAAGTTATCAAAGCTTTTCCAAAAATTACTGGCAGACATAATCTTCTTTTTGAAATATG